AGCTTCTGGCTTCCATACTTCTAGTGAATGTGAGCTAATAACATGGTTCCTGGTCTGAGTTCTCAGCTTAACTATCATTCCATTTATACCTAAAAACTTCAGAGAAGCATTTCAAAGTAGTCAGGGGAAGGCATAAAAAAGGAATCTTACATCGTTCAGGTGAAGTCAAGAGAGGGGCATAAATAATTAAGGAATTTAGCTTCACGTTTATCATCCTCTAGGCATTCTATATTCAACATGACTACAACTTCTCTCAATGATGGCCAACTATCTTTATACATGGCCACTGATTTAAATGTCATAAACTACAAGTAAATATGCTTTAAGAGCAAGCTGAACCAGTAGAAAAAGGAAAAAATCCATATTTAATTTCAGTGATTGCTTACAAAGACAACCAGAAGTATTTTTGAATATATATTGTGTGTACACACATGTATAAATATCAGTACAAAAAAAACAAATGAGAAATATTATGATTACTTTTACATTAACTGTAATATCTGTAAGTTTTCTATTTTTCTATAATTTTGAATGAGTGAGTCACTTAGTCATGTATATGATTGTGGACAGCTTTTCTACAAGTTCAAGTTGAAGTGGTCAAATGTTTGTTTCAGAATCAGTTTTTGTTGTTTCATTGCTTGTTTGTTTTGGTACTAGGGATAGAACCCAAAGGTTCCTAACCAATTAGCCATATCCCCAGTATATATATATATATATATATATATATATATATATATATATATTTTTTTTTTTTTTTGAGACAGTCTCTCTCTAAGGCTGGCTTTGATATTCTGATCCTCCTCCCTCAGCCTCCCCAGCCAGCCACTGGGATGCACTTCAATATCTGAAACTGGGAGCCAAAATAAACTTTTTTAATTTATAAGTTTATTATCTCAGGTATTTGTCATAATAACTGAAAGATAACAGGAAATTGGTGTCATAAGTGGAGTGGTCATTGATTTTACTATATACCTGAGTATGAGGAGAAGACTTTGTAATTGGTTGCAGGAAGAGTTTTGAAAAGTTTGGAGTAGAAAGCTAGAACAAAAACCTTAAAATGCTGTAAGTGGATCTTAATGGGTAATACTGGTGGGTGTTCAGTAGAGCATAACTGTGATAGGAATGCAGACATTAAAAGCTATGCTGATGAGGTATCAAATTGAAATGACTACTCTTGGAAATTGGATTGAAGGCCATCCTTGCTACACAGTGGCAAAGAATTTGGATGCCTTTTAACTATGTCCTGAGACTTTGTGGGAGGTCAGGCTCAAAGGTGACAAATTAGTTTATCTGTTGGAGGAAATTTTAGGGCAGCATAGCATTCAGGCATGATAATTACTGGCCTCATTTAGCCAAATATATAAGGATAACAAAGAGTAGAAAGATTTAAAATGTTTTCAGTCTGACCAGAAAAGAAGTGCATGTAAACATGTGCCCAAGAAGGATGCAGTTACTAAAGAAATTATTGCCTATAAAAAAACATTTAAAGCCAAGCATGGTGGCACACACCAGTAATCCCAGTGGCTCAGAAGGCTGAGGCAGGGGAATTATAAGTTTAAAGCCAGCATCAGCAAAAGTGAGGCACTAAGAAACTCAGTGAGACCTTGTCTCTAAACAAAATACAAAATTGGGACTGTGGTTGTGGCTCAGCGGTGGAGCGTTCACCTAGCAAGTGTGAGGAGCTGGGTTCAAGCCTCAATACCACATTAAAAAAAATAAAATAAAAAGGTATTGTGACCAACTACAAGTAAAAAATAAATATTCTTTAAAAAATAAAATAAAGTAAAATACAAAATAAGGCTGGGGATGTGTCTCTGTGGCTGAGTGCCCCTGAGTTCAATCCCCAGCACCCCCCGAATAAAGCAGTTAAATGCTTTGCATCAGCCCAATAGGAAGGATGCCTAAGGTCATCTCAGGAATCTCTAACCTACCACATCCATTATATATTCAAATGTATAGAAATGCAAATTTGTTTCAAAGACCTTCATTTCAGAAGGGAATCCCAAGGGACCCTGCATGTCAAAACCATCTAACAATTTTTTTCCCCTTGTTCAGCTACAAAGCCATGAAGAGGTTTCTGCAGGCATGGCTCATGTATACAATGACTCAGGTATATCTTACACTTATAGCCAGTCTTGGGGTTATCCATGTGATGTTGGTTTTGAAAACATGCAGAATATAAGATGAATGAGTTCATAGAGGCCTCCACCAAGATTTCAAAGGAAATTTTGGGAAGCAGGCAATGTGTTTCACAGTTAGAGTCCCTGGAAGCAGCCAATGACAGGGTCACATGTAGAATTATGAGAGTAAAGCAAAAGCTGCTATGTAGACCCCCCCAAACACACACATGAAGTAAAAGGCATCAGCGCCATGATATGCCTGCCAAGAAAGCTATAGGAAGCACACAGAATTTACCCATTAAAGTAGCAATGTGGGATGCAAGATGCTGATTGCAAAGGCAGGTTTTCGTAAGCATTTTGGAGCCATAGGACAGTGTGCCCCAAATTCTGGACATGGAGACTTAGAATTTAATGTTTGCTCTGCTGGGTTTTGGTTTTACTATGATCTTTTCACTTATCTCAATTCCCCTTATTTCTTTTGAGAATTGAAATATATAACCTGTCTATGTCACCATCATATCATGGAAGTATGTGCTTATTTTTAACAAGGGATCACAGCTGAATTTTATTAGAATCTCAGAGAAGGCTTTGTACATGGACTTTTTAGCAATGACAGAATATTTAAGACACTGGGGACTCTTGAAGTTGGACTAAATTCATTTTACATTATGAGATGAACATGAGTCTTTGAGGTCCATGAACAGAATGCTACCATTTGGATAAGTGTTCCCCCAAGATCCACGTGTTAAGACTTAGTTGCCAGCCTGTGGCATTACTGGGAAGTGGAGGGACCTTGAAGGGGCAAGAACTAGTCAGAGAAATTTGGATCACTGAGAGTGCAGTTGAAGAGTATAATGGGATCAGCCTCTTCATCTTCTCTATGGTGACCTGGCCATGAGATAAATGGTTTTCCTCCACCATATGATCCCACAGGCATTAAAGGAATAGGACCAGACAATTAAAGGCCAGAACCTCTCAAACCAGGACACAAAATAACTTTTTTCTCTTTATAAGTTGATCTCAGGTATTTGTTATGGTAATTGATTGCTGAGTAACTCAACGTGAACAGCATACATTGGGAAGAATGGCAACAATTGAATCTTCCCAAAAAGGTGATGTAACATGAAAGTTATGGAAAGACACTTTTATATTGGAATAGTAAATAAATATTATGCTTTCATGAGCATGTCTGCAGTGGTAGTTGCTGGATATACCCCCATCAGTACTCTACAAATGTAAAATTAAAGAGGTCAGAGATACTGAAATTTATCTGAGGCTGATCCAGTTCCTGTAGCCATACTTCCAGAATGTGAAAGGGAAAAAATGTAGCAATTATCCTCTCAACCCTAGAAGAGGGCTTGTATTTGAGGAAAAAAATTGAGGTCACTGCCCTCTAATGACAGAATTCCTTCCTTACTGTACCAAGTTCACTTTCTTTTTTTTTTTTCTTTTAATATTTATTTTTTAGTTATTGGCGGACACAACATCTTTGTTTGTATGTGGTGCTGAGGATTGAACCCGGGCCGCACGCGAGCGCGCTACCGCTTGAGCCACATCCCCAGCCCCCAAGTTCACTTTCTTAAGGCTAAGATTCTTATGGAAAATTAAGAGGGTGGTGATAAGGGACAGTCAAGGGTTTGTTTTGAAATGGCAAGCAATGCTATCCCATGAAATACTGGAGATGGAGAAAAGGTCTCATTCCCAGTATTTCATAGATCAGTCTCTTCATTTGCACCAAATAACCAAGAGATTAATATAGTTCCTTCCATTTCCCTAGAAGTACCACAGGACCCAAAACTGAATTACCCCCTTTGATGTTAAGTCAGTACAAGTAACTGCTACCAGGTAAGGTTAAATCCTTAGCAGTCTTGGGCACCTGGAACTGTAAGATTTAGGTTACTAATGGTATAGATGACCTCTGGTCATTACATTGGACTTTAAATAAAGCAAGCCTACATAACATATGATTGATTATGTGGACCCTGTTTCTTGAGTGTCAAGATGTATGGGAATATAGAATACTACCAGAGCAGGCAAGCTTATCCAATAAAAACCCTTAATTATCTTTCTCCTCTATGGCAAAAAGCCTTTAGTCTTATCAGCACTCTTAAATTTGACATAAATGAGTATGATGAGGAGGTGATGATGAGACAAAATACCCGTGGAAGCAGCAACATGGCCAAAGTAGAAGACATACAGCCATTTAGTGGCCAACTAGAAGTTCTCTGAGACTCAACACGTAGTCTCACGAGACAGGCAAGGTGTCTAAGGGGTATTGCCACTGCATAGGGAAAACTGAGAGGTTCTCAGGTGAACCAGAATTTGAATGAGCTCCATGATTTCACTGAAAGTGAACCAATGATAAGGTTAAAAAAAGAGATTGTATAAACCATAGGACAGGGCTATGACTGGTCTTGGTTTTTCACTACATAAACACCTCAAAATACAGAAGCACCAGGAATTTGGGGGTGGGCAGAGTAGATATATACACCTTTCTTAATTTTTGGTTGTCTTTTTCCATTGAAAATGGCTCTAGAAGAATTTTTTAAATAACATATGTTCACAAACATTTTACAATTCTTTGTGCATTATAATATTTCCTGCTTCCAAGTGCAATCCTTCTTCATAGCAACAACTTCATTAAACACATATAGCCAGAAAAAGGAAATCCAGTGTGGGTAAATAAAATAATTGAGGACAAGAATATTGGCCAGTTAAAATGGGTGGAAATGAGGTGTATGTTCCTATTTATTTGGGATAACCAAAATGGAGAAAACTTTGCAAACACTTTCCTATTTCCTATATTTTGATTTTCACTGACTACTACATATTTCCATGAATAAAGTTGGCAATGTGAAAAAAAAACTCAGTAACAATTGACAAAGTCAAAATGCTTTTATTTATACTGAAGTTTAGCAAGTACATTTTTAACAAAGAAAGCATACTTTAACTTAATATATGGAAGAACAGAGAAACCATACATATAAGAATCTAGTCTCTAACACACTACAGTATTTTTTTAAAGACAAAAAGCCAAGCTGAAATGATCATAGAAAAGCATCAAATATGGTCAAGTTACTTTAGCCATTAGGATTTAGTTCATATTCTTAAACTGGTCAATCTAATGTGAGGACAATGTTTACATCATTGTTTTTAAAATTTACACATATTCCTTTTTTAATGTAACAGATTGAATAGCTGCTTCAGTAAACAAAGCTTTGCTGATAAACACAATTGAAAATACTCCATGTTGAATAGTTTCAGAGATAAACTGGAATCACAAGCATCTTCATTTATGTAAAGCCAGCGAGGACCTTTCAGGCTGAATAAAACTGTTGTGCCATTGCTAAACAGTAATAGTTACCTCCTTTAAAAAAAAGAAAACAAGTTAGTTCTTCTGTAGAATAAATCTGATACATGCTAAAAATTACTAAAACTTTTATCTTCAGAAACCTAAAATGATTGAATGTAACAGTCTGATTCAGTATTTATAAAAGTTAACAACATTATGTTAATATGTCAGTTTTCAAAAATTCTTCAATTTTTATGATATAGCTTCTGCTCTTCTTTGGGCAGCATTGAAGAAATTGAAGACTAATACTTTTTTTCCATGAAATTTGTTATAATGTTTATAATGATCTATATTATTTTTCCTTTTACACACAATGGTACCTTGAAGTCCCTATACCAAAATAGGGGGAAAGGAGTTATATAGTTTTGACCTAAGATAATTACAGCTTTATACATTTAGAATTTCCTCTCCCCAGTTTAACCTTAAGACTGTGTATACTGCATGAAGGGAGACTAGCTCTGCATACCATTATGACCAGAAGTTTTGGTCAAACCATTATTCATTTAAATGTTGATCATCTAGAGTTCATAGTATCCTAGATTTAAGTAACACTTGATAGGTGTGGCTAAAAATTATCAATGAAGGATTTTTAAAAATTTGTTCTATTTCTTTTAGTTTAACCTTGCTATTTTCCATAACAATGGCTTATGACCTGGATATCTTACTAATCACAAATTGTCCTTTTCTTATAAAATAAGACACAGTGGGAAAGAAAGTGTGGATGAATCAGTATGAACCTATTAACTATGCTTAAGAAATGCTAAAAGCTATGTTTATGAGTCAAATGTATTATCTTCACATATAAAGAATACATTATCATTTTTGAACTGATATGCCTAGTGTAAATTATTCATTTATTTCTGGTTCAAAGCTTAGCACTGTAAGGAGAAAAGTATACATTTTTGGACCTTATGCATGGTAACTTTAAAATATTTATTCTTTCTGTGTAAAGGGTATCATGGTCTGTCAATGGAAATTTTTGGATAAGATTTCTGAACCAAAAATAAAGATAAAGTAAGGTAATAAGAGAATAAATGAGTTTGATTCTGTATTAGTCAGAATAGCTATAAAATTGGACAAAACTCACATAATTGGCAACCAAATATTTTTCCAAGGAATACATAGAATTTATCTGATATTTTTAGCAGAGCAAAATAAAACAAAGCTTATATTTTTAGAAACTCTCTGGTAATTTGTCAATCCAGATAATTGCTCAGACTGCTTCGTACATGGAGTCTGAGAATATTTATTCTGATGAAACTAACTAGTTAGTTGCTTAGTTCTCCAGTCTACCTCATCCTCTGTATACACAGCCTAAATATCATAGGAAAGATCTTCAACATCAAATGCAAGACAGTTATTTTACCAGGATTCAAATTTATACAATATATAAAGCTCAAGTCATGCAGTACAAAATGTGAACATTATAAACTTGAAAGCAATGGCAAAACAAATAATGCCCTCTAAAAAGGTACATAAACACAGCAGTGAGTGCCAAAAGACAATCAATATTCTTCATTCAGAAAAATGCAGATACTGAAAATCTCATTTATTATGTGTAATTAATGTCTGTATTAAAAGAGACAAACATATCTGCCCACACACTTCATTAAATGTCCCTGCTTATAAGGCCTATCAGGAACAGTTTCCATAGCAACTTGAAAATAAAAAAGAATTAAAAAATAAAAACCTAGGCTAGCAAGAAAACAATATTTATATGTATCAATTTTTTTTCCTAGCATACAACAAATTGAGATTTCATAGTAGTAAATTTTTTCCCCAATGTTAGGATCAGTAGCAAAATACACTCCTGTGTAGCATGCTGTATAAAGCTGACACCTATTCTGTTATTGTTTTACATATGGCAATGCTAAATGACCAAAAAGTAGGAGCCAATATTGACCTGCTAACTGACACTGATCCTTGGAGCAATCTCAAAGTTTGCCACATTTCAATTTCAAAATGCATTTCAGCTATAATATGAGTGATTTATCATTTAGTAGTAGCTGTCAAAGCAAACTCCTAGATAAAACAAAAACATCTGGAACCATAAACAGAGGAGTACAGTAGCTGAATTTTAATACAAACCCAGCATGTTCACTTCATTAGGAACAGGAAACAGCTAATTAGTAATTGAATGTTTATGTTTTTAAGAGGGTTCATACTTGAGCTACAAACAGAGATGATCTAATATGCACTCTGGATGTAAACAATTTTAAAGATCAGGAAGAGCAATGAACAAACCCTCTTTGGAGGAATGTTAGGAGCTTGGAAATTTAGAAGGAGGGACTCATACTATCTGGGGAGTGCTGGCAAGGTTTATTACTTTAAGATTCATCCAATAGGTAAAGAGGAAATTTGATGTATAAAAACATGATCAATTTTAAGTAAAAATGTAGTTACATGCAGCCCTTCCCTTAGCACAACACTGCCTGACATGGGTATAACCCATGGCACAGAAGGCTGGTATGGCCTTCTCCATACAAGAGACAATATACTGCTTGGTTGATTTATCTTTTGAGGGCCACAGATGGCTATCCCAAGGTCCTTTAAGTGTAAGACTTGCCTCCTGTGTTATATATCTAAAGATTATAAAAAAATTAGATAAATCAGGTGTCAAAAGTAGATATGTGCAAAAAGTCCAGAAGAAAATGCAAGGGGAATCTTCATAGTCAACCAAAGTTAAATATATATATATATAAAAAATAGCAGTAGTGTGTTTTTAAGTGCCTTAATTTGAAAATGATATTCAATTTTTCCCTATCATTCAACATGTGCCATTTGAGTATATAATGTTGAGACATTTTGTGATGTTTTATTTTCAGTTATATTTCATTGTTATTCAGGTCAGATATCTGATATTAATACAATTTTTCATTTGATTTGCCTAAACCTTATTTATGACTTACTTCTAATATAATTTTTTTCTGAATTGGGCTAAAACATCATACCTACTCTACAAAAGCAGACCTTCTATAGTCCATAGAGAGCATCTGAAGCCAAATGTCTGTGCCTTAAAAAAATCTTTCTGTATATAAAATGACTAAAATGTCATATTCATTGACATGAAATAATGAAATATTTCATAGTATGTAGAATATATGCAATTCCAACTAAAACTGTATATACTGCCATAAGGAACTGATAAAGTTTTATCCAGTCTAACAGATAGAATGGATAAAACTCATTTGGCCCTTTGCATAAGATGGGTGGTGCTTTGGTCACATCAGAACTTAATTCTAGGGCAGATATAACAAAATAGATCAGATTTTGCTTGATGTAAGGAGGCATTTTAGGAGTGAAATTAAATGTTTCTGATTACTTAAATATCTATTGTATTCTTAGGAGGCATAAAAATGATGACAGGTATATATCATCAGTCTTTGACCATGTATCTGTTAAGTAAACAGTTAAAAATACTTAAAGCCATTCTCTGGGCAATTCAAGCCAAGTGATCCTTTTGGCCCTAATCACTTGAACATGTTATGCATCTGGCCCTATCTAGAACAGAGGGTGGAAGGTAGAAAATATTCATGATGTAAATGTACCATTGCATCTGCCTATTTTCTTATGTCTATATATTTTACATTCTGTTTGCTTATTGATCACATAACAAAGAGCAAGCAAGACTGGGGATAAGAGAGAAGAAAAAGAATAAAAGGAGATTTTTTAGTAGTCTAATTTATCATTGCCTTTCTTACAGATAAGTAATATGCTAGCAGAATGGGGTTAAATGTTTTGCTCCGCCAACAACAGTTCAAGAAAATTGTAGACATGGTAAACACTAAAAACTAGAGCTCCTCTATTTCCTTAGAGAACCCTACAGCAAAGTCTTTCTTTTAGAAAAGTGAGTTCCCAGGCCATGATAACAAATATTCATTAATTGTACAAATGAATTACCTCCTGATATACTTTCTGTTAATTACCAGGTCTGACAAATAAATCTTTTTCATAGTAACCACAACTTAAAGCAGGAATGTCTACATTTTATCTCATACCATCTAGAAATAACATTTTCTGTGTATTAAAATGTTTTCCACCTACTTACCCCACTAGGATGCTGTGTGAATTAATGTGATAATGTTTGTGAAGCACTATGAACTCCTTGAAAAAAAGGGATTAAAGAAGTATAAAGTATCATATTCACTCACTCATCATTATGATTATCCCCTAAAAACATATGAAACCCATTCTCTAGCACATTGTTCCTGTAAGTGCAAGATTCTATTTATCAGTAATGAACAAATAGTAATTGAAGGTTCCATATTTTAAGAATTTGAGTATGAAATCTAAAGAATTACAACACTAGATAAGCTGGTAACTGCTACAGCACCCTATTCGTGCCTATGATCAGTTGGAGTTCCGGCATCAGTGTTCAGGCTGCACAGAAAAAACAATAAGACCTGGTCAAAATTTCATTCCAACAAAGAAAATCCAAATTCTACTCAATGCATGTCACTGAAAAACACAAACTCTATAAAAGTATTTTGTTCTATTATATATGTTCAAGATTTGAATAAACTAGTGTGTTGTAAATGTATTATTTTATTAGGTTTATCCCTTAATCACATATTCATTTATGTGCGTCTCATTCTATTAAAAATAAAATTATACAAAGGTGAGCAAAACTGTAGATTTACAGTAGTTTCAAACTTAATTTTATTCTCTAGGGGTAATATTGACAATATAAAATGGTGTAAATGATATTCCCTAACTCTAAAATATGCTTATGAGCCCCTTGTGCATGTTCTACTGCTTTACAACCTGCAATGAAATGCATGACTAGCTTAATAAGCAAGGAATTTAGGAGGTTTTCTTTTTTTTCCTCCACAGTCTAAAGAATGAGTAAAGATCCACACCATTTTCTGTGAGTTAGTATCTTTGTTAAGGATTGCAATTTTCTCTCAAGATGAGATTTCCTTCCTTGACAGGACGTTATTTGAAAGTAACTGCTGACTTTTTGATTTTTTAAATAACATACCATATTCTCTATGTTTTGGGAGGTTTCTATCTGG